ATATATGATGGAGCTTGGTTGTTAAGAGCTTTGTATGTTAGGAGTAATATTTTAAATTCTGTTCTAAATTTGACGGAGCCAGAAGGCTGACACATATCCATGGAGGGATGCACAGATTTACAGGGTAAATGGTGGCACTCTGACTGCCTTTAGGTATYGGATGAAATGCTTTGACCCTTCGCTGGTGCACTGGGTCCTGGGTTCCTCCTGGTACATAATGATGCYTGGCCTCATGTGGCAGGCAGTTTCTGGAGGATAAAGGAATAGATACAAATGACTGGCCTCCATACTCACCTGATCTAATCCCAACAGATTATTTCTGGAACATTGTGTTTAGGTCCATCTGATGTAGTTAGATTACACCTCAGACTGTCAGGAGCTCAGCGATGCCTTGGTTAGGATCTGGTAGGACATACCTGGACACCACCCATCATCTCATAAGGGACATGCCCTAATTTTACATTTATCAATTTGTCTATGTCTGTTTCCTAAATAAACTTGATTTAAAAGATTCTAATTATTATTGTTTGTCTCCTCTTAGTAAGCTGCCTTATGAAGTTACTCCAGAACAAGCGATGGCCCACGAGGAGGTGAGGGCAAGACTGGAGGCCTCCATCAAGAACACAAAGACCATCACTGACAAATTTCTGTCTGCAATCATCGTCTCAGTRGACACGATTCCGTAAGCTCCTCGTCTCTAGCTCCACATCAATCATGTATTGTGTTTTTGCCCACATGGTTTTGCCTKTCTTACTTTTCTTTTGTGGCTTTTGCCTCAAAGGTATGGAATGAGATTCATCTCCAAAGTGCTGAAGGACACTCTGCACGAGAAGTTCCCTGATGCTACAGAAGACGAGCTGCTCAAGGTTTGCATTTTTATCTGTCTGTAGACGCTGTTCCTTCATACCTGGAAACTTATTATTTTTTATGTTTAATGTGATAAGATGGAACCTTAAGCACGCAGGTTGTTTCAGACTGAAATGAAAGTGAGTCTCAGGTTCACGACTCTGAGCAGGATTATAGTAGACCTGAGGCTCCTGGTAAAACATTTTTGGCTTTCATTTTGTAGAATGAKTCAAACATATTTAACACTTGAACTTTCTGAATTTGTATACCAGTAATAACCCTTTTTAAAAGACTCAAACTATTTACATTTTTTCAAAAACTCTTTAAGACAAACTTGAAACCTGTTGATTGTTCCCAGACCACTGAGAACAAAAGCTGTGCAGATAAATCCAACCTATGAGGTCAATATCTCAATCAATAAACTCACCAGTTAATTTTAACAAATCTGTAAAAATCTTTTCAAATATACCAGGAGTTATTTGGGGGAAAATGTAGTTTTTCCATTAAATATTTTATTTTATTGTTGTGATTGTTTTTCTTTCAAATCAGTTTAGTGAAAATCTTTTAACAGTAGTTATTTATGTCTTTATTTTTTATACCAGGTGTTGGTTTTATGGCTCTCAGCGTTTGTTCTCATAACAACCGTAGGAGTAAAGTGAACTTTAACCCTGTTTTCACCACACAGCTTCTCCTCATTTAACAGTTTGGCTCCAATTCTTCCACATCYGCCTTTCTTGTTTACATCTCTGTCCTGGTTCTTTTTTCTGCTGTGTCTTGTCTTTCCATGTTTCCAACCAGCTGCAGTCTCTTTTTGCTGAATCTCAGGTGCACCCGTTCTGTCTGCTGCTGTTCAGGTGAGCCCCCCCCCACTCCCCTCTTGCTGCTCAGTCTGCATCCTCAACACCTTTCTGCATCCTGCTGTAGCATTTGCCAAACCTGTTTGTCTCCTCACTTTTCTTCTTATCAATCTTGATGCTCATGAAATGAAAAAAACAAACATAAGATGATGTTATGTAACTACTGTTCCCTGGAAAAGAGACAACGTTAATAAAAYACCTGAATCACCTGAAGACACCATTAATCACACCTTCAGGCAAATGTATAAAAGGCCTGATAACAAAAGACCAGCCCCACCCGCACTATATACTGTCCATCATCACGTCTTTCCTCGGTTTAATAGCCRCTCTTCACTGAGCCCAGCTGTGCAGCCATGTGTTGTACCTCATGCCTCACCTTTGGAGAATGGTAGTGAATTTTACGTTCTCTTTCAGTGGATTTACTCTGTACAAAACATGATKTATAAGACATAAGACATGTTTCCATCAATGTTTTTATGTGCATTTTGAAGTATCGCTTTAGAAAAGGTGTATGGAAACGGAAACATTTCGCGAAAAAGTTTTTATGCTCGCTTGAGGTGGTTCTGAAAGAGTTAATGCACAAAAGGGCAGATGGAAACACATTTGCAGAATAAGTTCTGACATAGTGAATATTTACCTCGGTCAGCTGTTCCCACTGTCAGTAATTGTAGCAGCTGCAGCTGGACCCTCCTGCTGTTCACATCTTCCTGGGTATTCCTGTATTGTGAAGGTAACATRGCCAGTACTAGTTTACATGAATCAAGAGAATAATTACAACTTTCCTGATAGTAGCAACACGTTCCTGATAACCTCTCTGAGATGTGTATCCCTGCGAGTTTGTAAYTTACTTCCTGTTTACTACTCTTTGTGTAGCCTGGTTAATTTATTCCAAGCCAGTAGATGGAAACWTGTCTGATGTGCATTTTTTTTATTTGATATTTTAAGTTTGTTCAAAATTAGCATTAAAATTGGAACAACACAAACATGACTATAGATAAAGTCCCCAGAGACCAGCATAGAGCCTGGGTCACATTCAGCATGCTGGTGCAGCACCTCAGACCATGTCTGTTCAACTCATTTGCTCAGGAGGCCACAGATACTTTAAACCAACAACTCATGGGCAGAACATCTTTTACCTTTTTAGTTTTGTTTATTTTGTTGCATTGAAACATAAATTAACAATCTACAAGTGATTTAAAACTCATTGTTATAATAAATTTTAAAATTTAAGACCAGTTGAAAAATGACAAGAATTCACATTTTACACTGTTGGATYATAAGAAGGTTCTAAGTARAGCTTTGAAATGCAAAATGATGAAATGTCAGTGAAACTTAAAACATCTGAATAAGCATTTTATTGCAAACAAGTATTAAACTGTATTTTTTATGTWTTTATTTTGCCCTGGTGCACACTGACRGAAGAGGAGCTGYCATGTGTTAGCTATATTGATAACCTGAAAGATCAGTGGTCTAAAGCCATTTTCTGCTTTAAGCTGCAGGCAGTGGTWACACTACCTAAAATCACAGAGTTTTATTTTTTATGGTGTTCTTAATCATTTGATTACATCCACAGATCAAATGTTGGTAAATGTTACCACGTATGTTGTTCATCATTTGAAGTGATTGAGTCATTGTTCTTTGGTTTTTCAGATTGTGGGGAACCTTCTGTATTACCGCTACATGAACCCTGCCATCGTGGCGCCTGACGCCTTCGACATTATCGAGATGTCCGCTGGYGGTCAGCTGACAACCGAGCAGAGGAGAAACCTGGGCTCTGTGGCCAAGATGCTGCAACATGCCGCTTCCAATAAGATGTTCCTGGGAGACAACGCACACCTGAATCCCATCAATGAATATCTCACTGCATCCCACCAGAAGTTYAGGTCAGACAGACGATCAGTCAGAGGCCAACTGTAGAAACATTCAGGATCCAGCTGTGTTTAGTTGTGTTGCATTTGTCTTCACAGGCGTTTCTTCCTGGCAGCATGTGACGTTCCCTCACTTGAAGATAAGTTCAACGTGGATCAGTACTCTGACCTGGTCACAGTCACCAAACCTGTCATCTATATCTCCATTGGAGAAATCATCAACACTCACACTGTGAGTTTACACCGCCTCAGTTTCACATCAGCTCTGAACAGCGTGGTGATTGGATGTTTCTGTCCTGTTAGCTGCTGCTGAACCATCAGGACGCCATCGCTCCAGAACACAACGATCCTATCCACGAGCTGCTCGAGGACCTGGGTGAAGTTCCCACTGTGGAGTCTCTCATTGGTGAGTAGAGTGGAGTGAAGATAAAGTTATACTGTCAGTGACAACATGAACATTAAAGATGACCACTTTAAATAACTCAATTAAAACACTGGATTGAAAGTTTCTTCTTTTAATCTCAGAGAGAGATTGGTTTTATTTTGAAGTGAGTTGGTGGTGTTAGCTGTCAGTTCTCATGAATCATCTAAAACAACACAAACCTCAATCTGGTAATACGTGTATATTATAAATTGAGTAATCTAACCTGGCTGTTGCCTTCCTACACAATCAGATTATATAGMGAAAAAAMTGTTGGKTAAAAATGCAAAACGATTCCTGGAGCTGATCAGTGACAGRATGTTGTAATGTTGCTCACAACACCCTCAGTGAGCTTGATTTGTGTAGCAACATGAAAGCTGGTACAGTAGCAACACATAACYTGTGTTGGGGTGCAATGCCCCTTAGACCCCCTTCACACAGGATTCAGACCCTGTTAAACTCTCTACATCCTACATGAACTGTAAGAACATGGCTGACTGCAGCAAGTACAGAAAGACTCTTAGACATTGTCAGGATGAAGATTACGCCATGCTAACACAACACTGATGACTTGATGGGTTGTATTCTAGGCCTGAGGCCAGYGTAGCCAGTCCTGCTTCTGTTAGGCCACACTGATTTGTGCAGGCCCTACAGTGAGGAGAAAGTGTCACCATTGTAACRAATCACCACCACTTTGCTATGAAAATTTAGTGCACACCCCTCYACAGTATACCTCCCTCTGCATTTTCCCCCACAGTTATGATTTTAGCTGAGTACATTTTAAAATGAAGATAARCATATTTAAAACAGTTTTKRAWWWTTWWTTTTTTTATCATTGTGAGTTTTTAGACATGGAGAGATGTTTTCTGTGGTATACAACCCCAACTGTGATGAAGTTGGGACGTTGTGTAAAACATAACTACAAACACAATGATTTGCCAATCCTTTTTACCTTATATACTATACAAAGACAAAATATTTAAAGGGGCAATATTATGTGTTTCTCAGGCATACATTTAAATACTATACCATAATAAAGTATCTATGTCACCTATAGTTATTAAAATGCTGTTTTTATGTTTTAACTAAAAAATAAACTTATCTTGTAATCACTTCCTCTTCTAAACACTTTGAAATTGGCCTCTGTCTCTTTAAGAACCACCTTCCGCTTCTGTACCGCCCATTTCAGCGCGGGGGGGTTGGGGGGGCTATGATGCAGTTTACTTGGCATCTGAAAATACATTTCTTCAAAGGTATTTTTAATCTGAAAAGAGCTTCACTGAGTGAGAAGTAGTGGATCTCAGCAGACAGTTTAAGTTTCACTTTCAGTTTCACCCGAGAGCCTGCAGGAGTCATGGGCGGGGTGTGTGGGGAGGGGGGGGGGAGGGCTGCGCTCTGCCATGAGGAAGTTCGGCTTAAAGACGCATCCCAGAGGGATTTCTAGTCCCCGCCTGTCGTTTTGCTCCTCAGCATGGCTTCCTAAAAAAGCTGCAGGATTTCTCAAACATGCATGAATGAGTCAAAGCAAGGCTTTGGGCATGTTTTGTATGAGAGTATGACATTATAACATGATATAAAACTCAAAAAAGTTTATTTTACATGATATTGCACCTTTAATGGTAAATTGAATAAACTTTTTTTAAAATATGTACTTATTTTGAATTTGATGCTGCACCATGTTCTAAAACAGCTGGACAGGCTCCTGTTTCCCTCTGTGTTCCATCAGTTTTCCTTTAACAACACTCTGTTTGTGAACTGAGGACACTCACTGTTAGAAGATTGCTGAATGAAAGAAAAGTTTACCAGATGCAGAATCTAARCCTGACTGTTTCTGCCCTCCGTCTCATGAAGGTGAGAATCCTCTCCCCCCCGATGACCCCAACAAGGAGCTGATGGGGAAGACGGAGGTGTCTCTCACACTCACCAACAAGTTTGATGTTCCTGGAGAGGCCAATGCTGAGATGGACGCCAGGACCCTCCTGCTCAAGTGAGTCCACCACCATCAAAAAGCAGTGATCAGATTTGTTTTTAGCTTCTTCCATCATTCTGATGGTTTGTCTGTCTCCAGCACCAAGAGGCTCATCGTGGATGTGATTCGCTTCCAGCCTGGAGAGACTCTGACTGAGATCTTGGATTTGACAGCCAGCCCAGAACAGGTCAGATCCCCATCTGATGACGTGGACCGTTTGRATTCTTTTTCTCCTGAACGTTAAGAATTCAAAGCTCTTTACTGCAAACAGAAGAGCAGAGAGTGCCCAGCATATAGCCCTGTCTGCAGAGTTTGTTTAATCCCAGTGGAAMATTACAGCTTTGTCTTCAGGCGTGAAACAGGAACTAGTTTCTTCAACATGTTTGAAGACAAACACTGACTTCATTTTGTAAATGACAAAGATCAAACTGGCTTTCCTCTGAGGCAACATCCTTTTTTCTTCTGGAAAATRGACATTTTTTTGGCCCTATCTAATTCCTCAGAAAATCTTTGCTGTTTTACCAACAGATATGTTTATTTACTGGAAACTACCAGAATCATTTAGAATAATTTATACATGACAACAAAGTAACATTTCTTTCATTCAGCATGTTAAATATTTAGATTCAGTTGACTTGAAGATGATCTGAAGCTATGATCCATGCTTTTTTCCTCTCTTTAGGAAGCAGAGTATCAGCGAGCCATGCAGAGGAGGGCGATCAGAGACGCAAAGACTCCAGAGAAGATGAAGCAGGTGAAACCAGTGGTGGACGACAGCCTGACCCTGCAGGGCAAAAAGGACAAGATCAAGAGTAACCTGCAGAGGCTGGCAGAGCTGGGAAAGGTTCACCYCGAGAACCGCTACCAGGACCTGATCAACGACATCGCCAAGGTTTGAACCACGGTTCCAGCTCTGGAAGAGCAGTTTTATAGGAATCRGTGTGTAAACATGATGCGTGTGTCTGTGCAGGACATCAGGAACCAGAGGCGTTACCGTCAGCGCAGGAAAGCTGAGCTGGTGAAGCTTCAGCAGACCAACACCGGCCTGAACTCAAAGACCAGCTTCTACCACATGCAGATCGATTCTTACAATCAATACATCAAAACCTGCATGGACAACCTGGCCAGCAAGGGCAAGTGAGTGAACCRCAAGATGGCTTGCACCTCATTCTTAAAGGAATAGTTTTCTTTATCACTTTGATCATGTTACTTCTGAGTAGTTAGTGTCTAACCTGCAGTGGGTGTGTGTTTGTAAAAGCAGGTCTGAGACACCAGACAACATTTTGATTTCTAGTTTTCACCAAAWCGCTTCATGAGATAGTTCTCAGACAGCTGCTGGCAGGTGGAGACAAAGTTTTGWTTGTGTGCCTGTCAGCAACATATCTTTATTAGATACATCTCAACACAATGACAGACACCACACCTAATAGACATTAGTCTACGCAAAAGTGGCAGAAAGTCAGTTTGTCACATTGTGTGACTGCTCATGATGTCACAAGATCACACAAAATATTTTCAAAGTTTAAGACATGTAAAAACCCGACACATTCAAATTATTAGTAACCAATGTATTCAGCCTCAATGTTTCCTCCTACAGGCCTGTAGGTAGAATACTGGTTTTGAGCACTACTTGTTTTGATTTTATTGAATTCAACTTCTTGTTGAAGTCCTAAAAACATAAACCTCTACAAATAGTCAGAACTCTCTTACATTTCCTGAATTATTTGCATTTTATAGCAATRGTTCCCAACCCTGGYCCTTAAGGACCCCTATCCTTCGTGTTTTACTTGTTTCCCTGCTATTCAGCAGGTCTTCACAGTATTGTTAATCACTCACTCAAATCAGGGAACATGTAAAACATGCAGGACAGGAGTCCCCGAGGACCAGGGTTGGGAACCACTGTTTTATAGCATGAAAACTATCAGGAAGTTGCTTACAGGACATAGGCAGGAGGAAGAAAACGATGCTACAAGAGATAAAGTCTCCTGAGTTTGCTGTTTTCTGTGCCTGGGAGATGTTTTATTACTGCAGTCTGAAGAAGCAGCTCTGGTCGATGAATAAAACAGCTAAACTCTGAACTTCCAACATTAATAGAGACAGCTTCATGTTCTCTTTTAAAAACATGTGCTGGTTTTTAATTTTTTTGTTTATTTTTTTATGTTTTTCTCCTCTCAGGTTGTCGAAGAAACCAGGTGACAACAAGGCCAAGAAGAGCAAACAGGTTTCCCAGAAATACACAGCATCTCGGCTCCAYGAAAAGGGTGTCCTGATTTCAATAGACGATCTGCAGCCCAACCAGTGAGTTCTGYACTAAATCAAACCACAATTTAAATTTCATTCATACCAATAAGTAGGGCTGGACGATGTGGATGAAGTTTATACTACGATATACCTCCTAATTTCAGCCGATACATCATTCCGATATCAATCTGAATACTAAAAATATCAGAAAAACTGCCAAGAACACCAATATTTACAGTCTCTACAAACATGTTGTCATTTAAGATACGTTTAATTAAAATTCTGACTAGTCAGAACAACAGAAGAGATATCTTAGTTTTACTTTATAATTAATCATAATTTAATTGTTTATCTGAAATATACAGTATGTTTCACATGGTCAGTAATCTATTGCAGATATCCTGAATTAGAGCCTACGTACAACTTCATGATAAATCTGACATCATTTATACAAGTCAGAATGGAATTACAGATATTTGTATAAATATAAATAGGTATCTTGCTTAGTCAGCATATAATTAGACATATCTTAACTGTTTCTAGTCATAAACCAAGTTCAGATATTTGGAATGTAAGTGTGGTGAAGCTAATTTTATGTCCAAACAGTTAGTGTTTGCCATGTCAGTTTCAGTTCACTTTGCTGGACACAGCTGCTGATGGGAAGATGGTGTGTTTTAGGAAGAGGGATTAAACTTTTAGGGTGCTTCATTTGCTGTGTTGTACGTTAGCGCTGTTAGCGTTAGCGTTGTACACAGTGTGTAGTGCTGAGCTCTGCTGTCGAGCCTGTGGTGTACKCTGTGATTCACTGATGGATATATTGATCAAATTTCTTTAAAAATTGTATCATCATTACTGAAATGTTTTCTATCATATGTATCCATATTAAATCCAGCTCTACATATAGGTTTCATTTCTCACTGTCACCAGGTTTGGTTTAAAAATCTATATTTTTTATGCTTTTTTTTTTTTTAACTGGTCATCATGTTTCTAAATCTTGTTCTTTTCTTATTACAGGTACAAGAATGTTATTTTTGAGATCTCTCCATCTGAGGCTGTGGGAGTATTTGATGTCAAAGCCAAACTCATGGGCGTACATTTGGAGACATTACAGTTAGAATATCAGGTATTGCAGTGATGCTGTCCACAGGTGGAACAAGCTGTTCTGTGTCTGTGTGTTTCCCAAATATCTGATAAACCTCTGCACAGATTTTATTGAAAATTGAAGAGTGGCACATCTGCAAATGGTGCTTTTTTTTTTACCCCCCACCCCCCAAAAAATATTTACCTTCTTGCCAGGGACCTCTCAAATCCCACAAACAATGCAACAAACTATGTAAGGAAAAAAGATCAACTTTTAGAATGTTTTCTCACTTTTATTTACGATTCAATAATTATTATTACATTTGTTTGGCATATGAATTGTATTAACTAACATGTTTTAAACACTATTATATTCCTACTGGAAAAAAAAACCTTTTCAACAAACTTGACGATAAAAACAAATCAAATCCCTTCTAAGCTGTCTTAGATAATATTTTGAAGTATTAATATAAATTATGTTTTAAAATAATGATTAAAAACAGTTGTTAGAAAACAATTATTAAAAAGAATTATTAGTTTAAATTTATTTTTGCATATTTTGTCCTTATTGTCCCTCCATCTTACTGAGTCCCCCCCTAGCGCCCTCTGGTGGCCCTCACTCTGAACGCTGTGCTAAGATTTGATGCAGCTGAAAGTCATTCACAACACATACTCAAAGTGTTATTTGTGGCATGTTTTTTTTTAACTTTAGTGTTAAATGTTGACTGTTTTCTCTCTCAGCAAAATATTTCATGAAACTTCTCAAAGTAATCGTTTAATGTTTGTTTACAACTCGTGAACTTCTGGAGTCGAGCTCATTTATGACTGCTGTAGCTATTTAATGTTAGCCGACACAAAACCGGTCCGTTTTACAGATACTGAGCCAACACTGGTGGTGAGAGCCGTGGAGAATGGTTTTAACTGTCATTTCTCAACAGAAGCTGATCTTAATGAAAGGTGGCAGGTGATACACAGTCCTTCAGGGAGTGCTGGGTTTGAAGTGTGTTTCCTCAGCTACCTGTCTCTGCCCTGTCAGAGAAGCTCACCTGTGTCTCTGTTCCTCTCTCAGGACCTCCTGCAGCTGCAGTACGAAGGCGTGGCGGTGATGAAGCTCTTCGACAGAGCCACTGTCAACGTCAAYCTGCTCATCTTCCTCCTCAACAAGAAGTTTTATGGCAAATAGTAAAAACCAGAAGAGCAAAGGGCTACAGACAATGCATTTTCATCACAAAACTAGCCTCTAAGGGGGCGGTGTATGTAACTTTGTCTCTACATTCCTTACTGCACTTTTCAGCTGTGCCTATGCAAATCTGTGCTTTTTTTCCTCTCTCTCTCTGTGGACCACCACATGTGCTTTACTGTTATTGTCCTTCCGTCTTACTGTAACTGCATCTTGGTCATAAATGTGTATTTTTGCTTTCAGTTTTATGAATATTATATGCATGGCTTTGAATAATTATAAAAACTATGTAAAGATATCTATGTTTTTGTAGCTGTTGCTAAATCTTTTCATTTCACTTGCCTGATGAGCGTGTTTGATAAAGGCCTCAGTGGGACGGTGGTACACGGCAGCAGGTTGGAGTCCAGGTTTTTATCTTGTACTGAACAAATAAAAGCAAATATGGAGAAATGATGCACTTCTTTTCTTCTAGACATAAAACTCTGTAGTTAACTGTTCTCACATTATTATTATTTTTTATGATTTGATGTTTACACATCTGATCTATAGAGAGAACTGGTTGTATATTTGAGTAGAAAATCTGATGCTGTCTTCAAAACCGTTTTTATAAATGTATTTCCTGATCATGAGTCACTTAGTTCAGCTGGAAACCAGACTGTCTGGCTCTAACCTGGCCTTTTACCCACTTGTGTGACCAGTCCAGATGTTGGTTTGTTTTGTGATTACAGCASCCTCTATCTAATGCACAACAAAGGGCTTAAACATTCATCATTTACTAGCTTTTCAAACATGTAAGAACTGTTTTTTTTTTGTTTTGTTTTAGTTTTAATACAAATKTGTCCTTCAGGTTGCTAACCTAGAGACAACTAAGACAAACTGATTTCATTCCAAAATCACTGCAGGATAAAAGCATCTCTTCATCTGGGAGTCATGGTTGTTTTAGTTTTTATTTTTCTGTTGTCTTCTTGAAAATACTTCAAATTTGCCTTTATTTATATTTTGTATGATGTCAGTCTGTAGCAAATGATTGTCCCTGCAGAACCTGACGGATCATTAGAGGAAGTGCAGTATTAACCCTGGAGATCCACCAAATGACACTCTGCACCATCCTGGTTTAGTTTTTTTTTTTTTTTTTTTTTTTTTTTTTTTTTTTTTTTTTTTTTTTTTTTTTTGCAATTAGGTGGCATCAGATTTATTTCCTGA